TTGTACAACATTCTGACTATAATGCCACTGAGTTGCATACTTAAGATGGTTAAAGTGGCAAATATTTTATTGTATAAAGTGTTACATATAAAACGAAATGGACTACATGTAAATGAGTTAACATGTAAAATGAGGTGAATGGTGAATAAGACCAAATATAAAACAAAAACCCAATACCATCTAGTTGATTTTGACTCATAGTGACCTTGTAGGACAGAATAGAACTGCCCTGTAGGATTTTTAAGGCTGAAACCTTTATGGAGACAGACTTGCCACATCTTTCACCTGCAGAGTGCTGGTGGGTTTGAACCACTGACGTTTTAATTGGCATCTGAGCACTTTAACCACTGTCCCACTAGGGCTTGCTAGACCAAGTAGAACCTATTATATTATGTGAGTGGATAGAATTCTAATGGGCTTTGATTGGACTAATAGTCTGTCATATTTTGTGAGAAAAGGCTCAGACAAAGTAACAATATAATAATCATAAATACAACAATGGCCGTATTTCTGTCTGACAAAAGTGGAATTTAAAGTCAGAAACATGAAGTATATAAGCAGGCTTAACTTTACATAGTGTCAATATGCACAATTTTTAGTTAACCCTAGTTTAATACCAGTCTCCCAACAACACTTTAAATTTTACTTACCGTGGTATATTAATTGAGTAATAGCATAAAGACAGACTTTGCTGCTAACTCTTAAGTTCACAAATCACTTTGTTAACTTCTTTCAGTCTGCTGGTGATTGGTCACTGTTCATCTGTTACTCATTTCTTGCACAGAAAGGAAAATGTAGCTTTGTTGCCTCCTTGTCTCCCAATGATACACCTACATGACATTTTACAGTCTTAAATGAGAGAGGCCAGTGAAGGTAAAAGTACGTGCAGCAAAGAAACAGAATGACACTGGAAGTGAAATTTGAATCACATGTAAATATTAGAGAATAAATAGCTAATTCATGTAAATGTAGACAAAGGACACTAGATACCCTGTCAGAGGAACTTGGTGAAGTCAGATTTATCAACATGGGTGGAAGGGTAGTGATTGAAAAGGATGAAGCTACTGCCAGGGAAAGTGAAAGTTGTGAAAACCTTCATATTAAAGGAACTTAACAAAAATACTTAACAACATTGAAAGCACAGAGGATAAATGCTGAAATGTGATCCAAACTTAGAAAGGAATAATGACAATCTGCCAAGGTGTAGAAAAAAATACTCATACCATAGAAATTTTGTGATAAGAAGGCAAGCACTGTTCAGTTGTTGATTGTTCTTTTCAAAAGGACGTGAAACTCTAATCTCGGTGATCCTGATGTTTTAAATTACAATGTGCTAAACACTAGTTTTGCTATATTTTTCATTTTTCTGTACATATATAACTCAGTAATAAAAGTTTTATTATTTTGACCTTTTTCAAGACCATGGAACAATCATGATTTCTCCGCTGATTATTAAGATTGTCTCGTACTGCCACACAAAGTGAAGACTACCTGATTTGTGATAAAACTCATCCATGTACAAAATTGAACTGTCTCAAATATTTATATAGCAGATAGGATCATGCTAGGTTTTTTCTTTTTTTTGATTGCTTTTAGATTTAGGGTCATATTTTTAAAACATTCCACATTGAAGTTTTTAACATTTTTCTGTCATTAAGTACTTTCAAAGTCCTCCCTCCCCACTTCATAAAGTTCCCCTTACCACCAATTTTGAGTCCTTTGGGATCTTGACATGTAGATTAGAGCTTAACTAACCTAACTAGTTGCCATACAGTCTATGCTGACTCATGGTGAACCCTGTGTGTAGAGTAGAACTGTACTCCGTAGGGTTTTCAGTGGCTGATTTTTTGAGAAGTAGACATTTTTTCTGAGGGTGATTCACGTCTCCATCCAGCATTCTGGGTCTTAGGATCTAACTTTTCCAGTTTTCATTCCAGTTTACAAAATCATTTTTTGACATTGTCATTAGTTTTCTGTGGTCGTACGAATTTATACTTTAATCCTTTCAGTATTGTTTTTGTGAGGTTCCATTTTCAAGAGGGAGAATTTGTGTTGAATTGACTTGTTCTGTAACTAAAAGTAAATTTTATTTTTGATGGAGTTTTACCTCGAGTCATTCACTTTGAATCTGGAATCAGTAATGTTAGGAAGAATGTTTAAATTTTTAAATAAATGTGTTAATTTTTCTAGCATGAGGCAATGGGCAGGATTGAATGATTTCTAGTCAAAGCCTGAATTTCTGGATCAAATGAGATGATGATTTAAGTTTAACCTCAACATTTTTTTATAAATCAGATAATTAATTAATCCTTACCATAGTAATGCACATTATTTTAATATTGGGATGTGCAATTAAAATATATAGATACACTGAAAATTCCTGAATTACAGAATTTAGATAATGAAGCTTCATTTTGTTCCTTATATTCTGATTGCATTTAAAAAGGACTCTTAAGTCTTTCTATTGTAATTTTTATTTTGAATCAAAGTATAATATTAACTTTACTTAATAGTTCCCTAATTCTTAAAGAACTTGAGCAGATGAGGAATTTGTAATACATACTTAATTATAATAATTAATCATCTAAACTTGTGGATAATTTTAGAGGAAATGAGTACCAGTTCAGTTTTCCTGTTCCTTTAGAGAATACATGTGTATCCAGCCTTCAGAGTAAAAAATGTATGTACTGTGTCTACCTTTACAGAGCTGACTGATAGAGGGAAATGTAAGGAAAGAATGTATCTGAGGCACAGATGGTGCTGATACCATTACAAACTTTTACGTGTGTGTGTGAATGAACAAATGAACTGGTAACTTCTGCCTGACTCCCTTGAGTAAAGTAAAATTCTTAACACATGTTAATTTTTATATCAAAAACATGTTTTTAGATAATTTACAGTATTTCATGAATTGCAAAACATACCAGGTTATTTTGAAATAAAATTACATTTGGGTTGAGTACAATGTCACAGTTTTTTGGTTTTTTAAACATAGGACTGGATCCTAGGAACTTGTGATTGAATTTAATTTAAATATTTGGAATTTAATATAGGTTTTTGTCTATACTTTATATAAGATTTATAATACATCTTATATTAACAATGTTTGATAACTTTATCATAAGGCTATGCCACTTAATAACTTCTGTTATACATTTAATTGTGGTTATTTTGCACTCATATCCCCCCTCCCCTTTTATAGTGCTTTTTTAGGACCAAAGGATATATTTCCTTACTCCGAAAATAAGGAAAAGTATGGCAAGCCAAATAAACGAAAAGGTTTTAATGAAGGTTTATGGGAAATAGATAACAATCCAAAAGTGAAATTTTCAAGTCAGCAGGTGAGTCATAATACATAAAATGTAGTTTAGATTATTTATTCAATCTTGGGAATAATCACTATCCTAGCATTTATGCATGACACTAAATTTTCATGGAGTCATTTGCCTTTGCACAGTGTGTATAATTTTTTTTATCATACAACAGAAATTACCCTGTTTCTGTTTGTTCTCTGTCCTGGCATTTGATGGTATTTAAAATTTTTTCTATATTGTCAGTTGTACTCTTGAACAGTGTATACATTTCTGTATGGATGTCCCAGAACTCTTGAATTTAAAATAATGACACCGGCCAGTTTTATAATAGGACCTATGTTCTTGTTGGAGCCCTGGTGACACAGTGATTAAGCACTCAAGTTGCTAACCAAAAGGTCTGCAGTGAGAAATCACCAGGTGCTCTGCAGGAGAAACACTAAAGATTTACAGCCTTGGAAACCCTATGAAGCAGTTCTGCTCTGTCCTGTAGCATCTGAATGAGTCAGAATCAACTTGACAGCAGTGGGTTTGTTCTATCTGTTACCACCACCTAACTGTAAGAGGAGGTCTTCATGGGAATGTTATTGAGAGTTTCTCATTCTTAAATAATAGTCCTCTTAGACTTGTAGAAAACCTGGAAAGAACATGATGAAATCTATAGAAGACAGTGGGAACAAAGTAGAAATTATGCAGTTTTTCTACTCTTAAACTGTCAACCTTTTATTTCTTTGAAGGTGCCATGCTTCTTCTTACCTTTGAAAATGTCAGATGCTGTTCAATCAGGTTGTTTAATCTTCCTTTCATTGATGGTCCGTGACTATATTAGGTGGTCTTAGTGCCTTCATTGCTTATTTATTGTAATAGTTACCATACTTTGTAATTACTACTTTACTTGTCTGTAACTGCCACAGACTATGATCTCCATCAGCAAAGAAGTTGTCCTGTGTGCCTAGTTAGCTGCATGGGAAGAATAAGTATTCCCAAATATTGTTGAATGAATATAAGAATGGACAAATGGTTTCTTGATAGTCTTGCCTTGATTATAATGGGTGAACATTATTCCAGAGACACTGAATTATTTCCTGGAATTGTTGTAATTTCACTTCCATTATGTGTTCTGTGACTGCCTTTTCATGGTTCTTTTTTTTTCATCCTTTCTTGCTACCACTTGTTCTCCAGGTAGTTTCCATTATCTGCACTTGTAATTTTCCGTTTCACAGTGAAACTTCTGGTAGGTTGCATGGGTGAAACCCAACAGTTTTCTGTTTTTCACAGAAATATGAATGACCATGTTGGTTTGATGTAGGTTTGTTCTCCAGTCCCAGACACCTCCCAATGGCACAGTCCTAGGGTTGGGGAATGATGCAGTGATGTACAAATTTATACAAAATAAAACTGTTTAACCATCATGATATTTAAACATTTCTGTAATGCTCAGAATAATTTTCTAGGTGTTTTTACATTATTATACCTTAATAATAATTTGGTGGATTATTAGTGCTGCTTTTTTCTTTTTACAAAAGAAGAAAAGGATTTAGAATTTAAAAGACTTGCCAAGGGAAACAACAGCTATAAAGGGGCACAGTTGGGATTAGAACTCTATATTGTCCGAGATTTGTGCTTTGCCTCTTCCCCATTATATACTGTGTTGTTTATGTAAATCTTTTTGCTCATTATTATGACAGTCTAGAGTCCCTAGAACACCTGCTTAAATATCATATACTTGAGGGTTTTTTTTATTAGTATTTTTTTTTTTAATTTGGTGATAATTACTGGACTCCCCCCCCCCCACATGCTAAATCAGAATTGTTAATTGTGAGTCTCAGAAAGCTATGTTTAAAATAAAAAAGTTTGAGGTATAGACTGATTTAATGAAGCTGTGAGGTGTATATCCTTCAGGAACGCTATGTGTTACTTAGTTAAATAATGCTTCTTGTAGATAAGCTTCTCCAGAATACTTTGTTGTTGTTATGTGCCGTGGAGTTGGACCCAACTCATAGCAACCCCTCTTTGGGTTTCCGAGGCAGTATCACTATGAAAGTAGATTGCCCCATCTTTCTGAGGAGTGGCTGGTGGGTTTGAACCACTAGCCTTCTGATTTGTAGTCGAGTGCCTTAGTCACTACGCAGTTACCAGAGCTCCCCCAGAATACTTTGTTGTTGTTGTTGTGTGCCATCGAGTCAGCCCCAACTCATAGTGACCCCTCCTTGGGTTTCCAAGGCAGTATCAGCTACAGAAGTAGGATTGCCCAACCTTCCTTCTGAGGAATACTTTAGTATTTGAATATAGAATATGATTGCCATTCTAAATGCTCTTAAAGACAATGTATCTTTTTGGGTATTTGTTGGTTAGAGCTTCAGAATGGTATTCTTAATAATGATATTTCCTTTTAGCCTTTTTCTTTTTTCCTCTTGGGTGCATTGAAGTACAGGAATATAAATCCTGAAGACTTTTGTAAAGAAATAGTGTTGAAAACCATTTTTAAAATTGTGTATATTAAAATTTCCCTGTGAAACAAAAATCAGGATGCTTTTCTAACTTTTTGTAGACAGGACTTTAAATTTTTCATAAGTGAAAAATTTTAAAGTTGTGATTAAACCTTATTTTGTCAAATTAATGGACTTGATTGCTCACAGGCCTCAACTAAGCAATCAAATGCATCATCTGATGTTGAAGCTGAAGAAAAAGAAACTAGTGTTTCAAAGGAAGATACTGATCATGAAGAAAAAGCCAGCAATGAGGTATATTGAATTTCTCTTGCATTCTAAACTGATTTTGCTGCAAGGAAGAAGCTGTAAAATGAATTGACTCTGGCAAAGTAGAAAGTGATCGTTAAAATATTTAAGTAATGAATGAGAAGATACTTAAGGCTTATTTCTTATGTAAATACAGCCTTGTAAAATAATTTATGCATCTTAAAGATGCATGGCTTTTTAAAATTTGACATTATTTTAATGTGCAAAACAAGAGGTCTCATCTGTAGGGTAGGTTACTGTTGGTTAGAATTATTTTTAGGGAGGTAGTGTGGGATGAATGGACTGGAAAGAACAGCAGTAGACTGAATTTTTAAAAACTTAGATTTATTTTCAACTCTGTATCTGATTACTTTAGGAAATGATTGTTAAATTATTTCCAAAGTTCCAGGTACCTCTTCATATCCAAAATTTCTATATCCTCCACAGTAGGATCCTACTGTAGAAATAGGATTCTGTAAATAGAGAAAACTTCTTGGCATTCTAGTAGTGTGACTTTTTATGTTTGATTTGACATAGAAAATGCATGTTTTCCATTGGTAGATAACTGGCTATTGTTTTCATTTTATAATGTTAAGGCTTTTAAGGTTTATAATTTGAAAGAGGAGAGAATCAAAATAAGTTTCCTGAGAACTTTTAGTGAAATGTGGTTGTGACTTTGAGCTTAGGAAAATTTCTGTCAATCTTCACATAATTTTCCAGCGTCATCTGTATTTTTTAGGATGTGACTAAAGCAATTGATATTACTACTCCGAAAGCTGCCAGAAGAGGGAGAAAGAGAAAGGTAATTTTATTGACTAACCATGGGGATCGTAAAAGAATTGTTACTTTAATTGGGTAGCGGATGAATAGACATAAAGTAAACCAGATCTTTTACTCTAAACCATTTGATAATTTTTAAAGGGTAGGTAGTGCTATTTACTTGTTAGTACTGTCTGTTTCTTTATGATAGAGCACCCTTAAGATAAGTTGAATGGTAAAGGAATATAATACATCATTTTCCTTAATTTTAATGCCAGTACCTTGGTTTTCTCTATAAAATGGATCATAGTATATATATTCATAGGGTTGTTGAGGATTGAGAGGATTAATTGAGTCAACACATGCAGAATGTTCAGAATGTATCTTAGCATACAGTATCTGTTGGAGAATTTCTGCCTTTTTGTCATTTCATTGGAAGAGTTCTTTCTCTATAGTTTTGTTTTTAGTTTTTTGTTATCTATAGAGCTTTGTAATAACATATGCCTGATTCGCTCCCCGAGAGCTGTTGAATCAGATTGGGACAGTAGTATATGGTCTGTAAATGCTTAAAATTTTAGAAACACAACCTGAGTTTATGTTTAGGAAAAAAAAATTTGCAGTGTTCTTTGAGAGCAATTCAAGGGTTCCCTTACATGACTTCATTGCCCTATAATAATGTTTTTAAAAACCAATAAAAAATGGATACGTTCTTACAAGTGGAATTACTGAGTCACAGAGATACACATTTATTATTGAAGGCACTCTTTCAAAAAAGTGGTGCCAGTTTATATTCACCAGTCATCAGTATATAAGTGATTGAGCACTGGGCATTATCTCTTAATTATTTGCAAATTGGATATTTGATTGTTGTTGTGTACCCTCTATCCTATAGGATAGTAGAACTGTCCCATTGGGTTTCCTAGGCTGAAATATTTAAGAGAACTATTGTGGAATGGCTGGTGGGTTTGAACTACAGACCTTTTGGTTAGTAGCAAGCACTTTAATCATTGTGTAACCAGAGAGCCTTAGATGACTTTTAAATATTTTTTTGCCTATGAGACTACTGAGCATGTTTTTGTGCTTTTAGTTATAAGTAGGTAATAGAAAGGCCTAGATTTTGAGGCATTCAAAATTCATGTGAAAATAAGAACAGTGTGAGTGAGTTGTTACAGTATGATTGCATTATACCATATTGTAAAAAGAAGAAAGCCTTATTTTCAAAAATGGCTGATTTAGGTTGAGGATTTATTTTTTTAAGAATTGTAAACTCAGTTTGAGGATGTCACTCTGATGAGTTGTTTGTTGAAAAATAATAAAAATCATACAGAAGTTACCCTTATATTTGAATTCGTATTATCATAGAGTAGCATATTTTTGCCATTGAATTAAATTTATAATACTTAAATATTTGATAAGTAAGTTAATTAAATCTTTATGACTCAGGCAGAAAAACAAATAGAAACTGAGGAGGCGGGAGTAGTGACAACACCAATAGCATCTGCTAATCTAAAAGTGAGCCCCAAAAGAGGACGACCTGCAGGTAGGATTATTGATGTTTAAATCCTTGTTTAGCTGATCCAGTCCAAAGTATTGCTGCCTCAGATATTTTACAATGAAGTAGATAAGCAGTTGAATATAAGGTAAAACTGACTGTAAAAAAATTTCAAAGGATGTACATTATAGTTTTTTTTCTATGTAATGTATTTAAACTTGAAATTATTATTTGGGCCTAATTTCATTTTCTGTTATCTTTTTATCTTACTACATTTTCTCTCTGATTAGGAGTACAAGAGGCTGTGGGGAAGTTCAGATTACTATGAATAATGGGTTTATTTTTTACCTTTCACATGAGGCATTAAAAAACCAAAAAACCTAAACCCATTGCTGTTGAGTTAATTCCAACTCATAACAACCCAACAGAATGGAGTAGAGCTGTCCCATAGGATTTCCAAGGCTGTAAATCTTAATGGAAGCAGACTGCCACATCTTTCTCCTGCAGAGGGAATGGTGGGTTTGAACCAACTGACCTTTTGGTTAGCACCAAGTGCTTTAACCACTGTGCTGCCAGCATTATGGCTTATAAGGCATATGCTTTCTGAGTGTAATAAAAGCATGAGAAATAGCACTGGATTAAAGCCATTAATATTTAAAATATAATAGCTACCTTCAACATTGACTGTTTATTTTCTTAATTTGACAAATTGGAAATATTTTGGAAGGTATTTACCTTACTCTACAAAGAAAATTAACTAAAAAATCCTTTTTTCTCCTTCTTGTATACATAGGATTCTTACTGAAAAGAAATAAGATGAATAGTACCCCAAACCAAAAAGCCAAACTCATTGTCATCGAGTCACTTTTGACTTATAGTGGACCTCATTGGGTTTCTGAGGCCGTAAATCTTTACGGAAGTAGATTGCCTCATCTTCCTTGCGCACAGCGGCTGGTGGGTTTGAACCACCAATCTTCTAGTTAACAGTCAAAAGCCTTGGGCACTGTATCACTAGAGCTCCTTGAATAATGGGGGGGGCGGGATTTTGTTTACATAACTTTTATTTTGGAATTTAATATTGTGTAATAGATGAAGTTGTCCTTAGAGAACTCTCTGAATTCTGATACAAGATTTCAAAGACGTATATGTACATATACATATAATATTGTAACATATCTTTGAATATAAGTGCTATTTTCTATTCTGAAGTATAATTTTGTGATGTTCTTGTTAAAAAACACAAGGGATGTTACGTTAAGCCCTCTCAACCATAATAAGGACAAAGTGAATTTGTACTTTGCCCAGCCTCTCTAAATTTTCTGCTGTTGCTCATTTGAACTATGAGAGAAAGGTATAATCTTTAAAATTTATGAATAATTATATGCATAATAAACCACTAATATGGTCTTATATTGTTAATATAACTCATTTTTAATCTTTATGTGGTAGTTAACAGATGTTTCTTTCATATGAATATTAGCTACAGAAGTGAAGATTCCAAAACCAAGAGGAAGACCCAAAATGGTGAAACAGCCTTGTCCTTCAGAGAGTGACATGTGAGTTTATTTTTAATGTATAACTAATCATGTAATAAATGGAACATTTGTGTTTAAGCGTATTTTTCTTTGAATTCTTAATTTACAAGGTGCTTACTGCTCTAATTGTTATTTCTAAAAATTAAGAAAATAATTACGTTGAGAAATAATATTTTATTATATAAAATAAAAGTGGGTAGGAAATTGAGAAAAGTCTGGTGTGATGATCCTTTCATTACTCTGTGTAAGACATTTGCTTGATTTAGTAGGATGTAATACAGAATAGTGACAGTTGAGTGAATAATGTTGTTGTTGTTATGTGCCGTCAAGTCGGCCCAACTCATAGCGACCCCTCCTTGGGTTTCCGAGGCAGTATCACTACGGAAGTAGGATTGCCCAGCCTTCCTTCCGAGGAGTGGCTGGTGGGTTTGAACCGCCAGCTGTCTGGTTAGCAGGCAAGTGTCTTAGCCACTATGCTACCAGAGCTCCCTGAGTAAATAATATGCTTAGGAAAATTTTAGAGTATATGACTTTTATTTAAAATAATAAAGATTTTGTAATGTAATTTTTAACATATTTTGGAATGAAAACAGCTTAGTTACCCCCAAGTAATTTCCCTGCACCTTTGTTTTTTCCTTACACAGATCATGTTTGTTTTGATTTCTCTGGGTAGAACCATCACTAAGATGAACATACTTAAACAAAGAGGACAAAATTTTATGTAGCTATCGTGTTTAAAGATTTTGTAGAGAGGACTCAAATGAAGTGTGTGAACTAGAAGATTTATAATGCTGTTTAGAATAAAACTACTTGAACACTACTGGAGATTTGGTACTTTTGAACCAAAATATATTTAAGGAGCTTTATTTTATTACCAAGGTACCTGGTAATGTATTCTCAAAACAGTGGCACAAAATTACACTATGGTTCAACTAATGTAGTAAAATTTTAAGATATTAGATACTTTGCCAAGTGAGGTTCCCCCCCTCCCAAACATACCAAATAAATCTTATCCCTTTTCAGAGACATCCTGGATATCTTCTCTAGTCATGTCATTGGGCAGAAAGTCTAGGATTTCATGAACAACTTAAAATCTTGAATACGTGTTGATCTTGATAACGAGGAACTGAAAGCACACAATATCATCAGTTATTTCCTTAGTTATACATGTACGTACATGCACATGGATCTGGGATAGGGAATCATGGTTAGCACTTCCATTTAGAAAGGAGATTAAGAGGTACATACAGCAATTGCTTCTGTGTAGAAAATCTGAAATTTTGTTGAATTTAAGGAGTGTTCTTTGATTGGGCCTCAGTTGAGGAGCTCTGTTGGCATGTTGGTTAAAGTGCTTGACTATTGACCGAAATGGTGGTGGTTCGAACCAACCAGCCACTTCATGGGAGAAATATGTGGCAGTCTGCTTCTGTAAAGAATTCCAGCCTTGGAAACCCTATGGGACAATTCTGCTCTTCTTATGGGGTCACTATGAGTCAGAATCTACTCAATGGCATTTAGTTTTGGTTTTCTCCCTAGAAGTAGTTTCCTAGTCCTTTTCTCTCCATTGACTCAATTAGTCAAGATCTATAAAGAGCCATGAAAATACCTTTTCTGTTTAATTCTCTAATCTCTTTGAATTTTGAAAATAATATAGTATTGGAAATAATAAAGTTAATTCATTTTACTTGAACATTTTTGTTTTGTATGATGAAGCTCTTAAGACATTTGAGAATGATAAACATAACTATAATAAAAGTTATGTGAGAAAAAATTCTTAAATTAAGGTCATGATTTTTTTTGGTCTCTCAGCTTCACCTTTTAAGTGTTAAAAGCAGCAGTTGTCTGGTAGGTCAGTGGATTTGGAATTGAGATGTTAGACTTCTTTACCTTCTTGACCATCATGTTCTCATTTGTCATATAGAAGAGGTTGAACTAGATAATCAGAAATTCCTTTTAGATCTCAGATTCATTAATTTAATTGTGTAATTTGTGAAAATCTCAATGAAAGTCCTTGGACACTAAGAAAGGTGGTTTATAGTCAGCTTTGTCTAAATTTCAAGTTGTGGTATTTCTTTATAGGATTGCTTTAGCTTAATGAACGTGTATACCATAAGACATAATTATGTGGTCACTGTTGGCATTTGATTCTCCTTCTGGAATCTATTAACATATTATAACTATTTCATATTTGGTCTTATTTAGCATAAATAAAAAATAGTAGGATTATTGAGCAATTTAGGTAGTTTGACTTTTTTAATGATACCTGATATGCAGTGGTTGTGGTAATACTTAAGTGTGAGATGTTCAGTACTGTTTCATATTACGCTTAATTGGAATTGTATCTTACATACATAAGTTTTAGCATCTTTTAGCCTACAGAAGGCTGTTTCTTTGTGTTTTAAATTACCATATTTGATTACATTTCTGCAATTGTGTATTTTTTCAGTATGTCTTATTTTTTAAATAAAAACATTATTTGTTCTTACTAACATGTAGAGTATAAGCTCCTTAAGAGTCAGGGATCTTGCCCATCGTAATACTCTGTTGAATCCCCCCAAGTCAGGAACACTGCCTTTGCAAATAAGGTAATGAATCATATTTTTAAAAACTTGGAAAACAGGAAAAAATCACTTTTCTGTCACTTTAATGGTAGTATAATTATTTTAGCGTCTAATTTACACAATATTTTTATGGTTGGATGCTAAAGACAGTATTACGTTTTAAGATGTTTTAAATTTGCTTTTAAACAAAAAATATGTAATTAATTATTGCTATCCAAAATAACTTAGGTTGACTGGAAAAGTATGGTTGGATGACAAGTATTAATGATACTAAATGCTCGTTTTCCACTTTCCACAATCTCTAAAATAGGGTAAGTGAAGAAGAAAAAAGTAAGAAAAAGGGACAGGAAGAAAAACAACCTAAAAAGCAGCTGAAAAAAGATGAAGAGGGCCAAAAAGAAGATGATAAATCAAGAAAAGAGTCAGACAAGAAAGAGGGGAAGAAAGAAGTGGAATCAAAAAGGAAAAATTTAGCTAAAGCCGGGGTTACATCAACCTCCGATTCTGAAGAAGAAGGGGATGATCAGGAAGGTGAAAAGGTAGAAAAGTCTATATACTAAGTTTTCTTTATAAGTTTCTTATATATATCTTTATCTTTTATCTAGTAAATTTTGAGTATCTTTGTGAAAATCTGTAAATTTGAAGGTGGGTAGCCTTTCAGAAGCAGATTGCCAGGCTTTTTTCTAAGGTGCCTGGGGGGTGGGTTTGAACCATTAACCTTTTGGTTAGTATTTGAGTGCTTAAAAGTTTACAACATCTAGGAAGTCCAAATATCGCTGAAGGTTAATCTGAATTACTCAGTTTTGCCAAATAGACTTGCATTAGCTGTAAAAAGCATATTTGAAACTTAACATACTGTATTTTCCTCTTAAATTTGGTATATTTCCAATAATCTCATCTATCTGGTAGCATAGTGCCTAAGGCACTTGACTGCTCACCAGAAGGCTGGCGGTTCAAACCCACCAGCACTCCTCGGAAGGAAGGTTGGGCAATCCTACTTCCGTAGTGATACTGCCTCGGAAACCCAAGGAGGGGTCGCTATGAGTCGGGCCGACTCGACGGCAAACAACAACAACAACATCTTAAAAAGGCAGGCAAATAGAGATTAAGTAAAATAGGTGGCAACCATAGAAGAGAGATGTATAGTGTATTTTTATGCAAATAATGTTTGCATTTATTCAGCTTTATTGGGTTTTTGCAAAGTATGTAGCAGCAAAGCCCCCAAACATTAATTTTCTGTGGATGTTTTATGCCTTTCCTCCCTCCCCCCCAAAAATGGTATTTGTTATTTACTCCAAGGAAATTCTTTAACTCTTCAGGCTTCTTGATGTATGTTTTATCAGTAGTTCTTCCTGAAGTGGCATAGTTGCTTAAGAATCTCACTAAAGTTACATACATCCTTTTCTTTTTGTAAATATCCCCGTTCTGTTCAGTTTTACCTGATTTCTTAATATTTTAAAAGCCAACACTTGTAAATTGGTGGGTTGAGCAGTGTCTGCAGTAAACAAGGACTCAAGTCAAAATGATAGTGTAGAAATAAATAGCCTGTTTCATTTTAATCTGAGGATATCATCCCTACAACAGGTTAGAAGTAGAGATAGGGGGTAATTCAGCGATTTTGTTTTTCAGTGATGATTAAGTATTCTTTTAAAAACTACAGCTGATTTTTTTCCGTCTGAGCTTGTTATCACATAAATACTAATCAAAAACCAAATCCATCCTGATTCTCAAAACAGAAAAGAAAAGGTGGAAGAAACTTTCAGACTGCTCATAGAAGGAATATGCTGAAAGGGCAACATGAGAAGGAAGCAGCAGATAGAAAACGCAAGCAAGAAGAGCAAATGGAAACTGAGCAGTGAGTATTTTTTCATTTTATATTGTGTTTTCTTTTCAAAGCTAGCATGAAATTTTTAAACAGTAGAATCTCGTTTTCTAGACCTTCATTTATGAAGCCTTTTGAAGAGAAGTGACTTTCCCATATGTTAGAAAAATCTTCAGTGTTGATGGTAATCATGTTTCATTCTTTTCTGAGAGGATGAAATTCACCGAGGTAACCACCCTGTGAATCGCTTTTTTAATTTAAACTTAAAGGCGAAATAGAATTTATATGTTAGTGGTTTTGTAGAAAATGTACTCATCCTCTAATATTTACTTGTAAATTATACTAAATACAGAAAGACTAGTGATAATACATTAATGGAGAAAGAATGCAAAAAATATCCTTAAGTCTTCTGCAACCAGCAGGCCTCCCCCAAAAGACCAGCAAAAATAACAGAAGCACAGTTGGAAACCCAGGAAGCCAGTAAGTCTATAAAGGCTGACAGGGTTTACATTAGATGTGTGCAATATAAATGTAAAAGTTTCTCTTAAGTTTTGATAAAGATTAGTATATACTTACCATGGGGAATTTCTTTCCCCTTTAGTTTTATTATATATAATAATTTTATTATTGGAAGAAGGAAAATAATCCCAGTAGTAATGATGATTAGACTTCCATGTTTTTATTAAATTTGTTTTCATAGTTTATCTTTAAACTGTCACTTCTGAGTTTTCTCTGAAAAGCTTTTCTTTGTGAAGTGTCTCACACTGTTCTGGCTAAACTTTTAGTTTTAGTAAGGATATGATTTTTTAAAATAAGCTCCAGGTCAATCACTAAGACAAAATTAATGATGGGCAGTGAAATGTTTTAAGCTCTTCCTAAACAATTTTGTACTTTTTTCTTTATACATTCGTAAGCCTAAAAGTATAGGAGTTGACTATCTGCTTTCGTTTGGAGGATATAGAAGCAGTTTCATCTGCTTGAGGGAATAATTAAAAACTTACTGTAAAAGACAGAAATATGTTATTCCCTCTAGTTTGTTAGACATTAACCATCTATGTAAATATTTATTTTTTGTTACCTAACCTTTCCTTTCTCTGAAAAGTTGTTGGACTCTTGCTTTAAACTTTATTGTGCCTCCAAATTAAAGATACAAAATTAGCATTGTTTAGTAAATCTAACCCAATCCTCCTTCAATATCTGAGTTATCTTTATGTATTTCAATTTCTTTTTGAATGTCCTCCGAATGTAACTTTCTCAAATTCTAATATTTGTGTTTTCTTTCCTTCTCCTGTTATTACAAAACTTTGTACTTGGACAGTTTTGCTCTGTAAAGCATTTCAGATGCAGCTTGTATGAAATGCATTATGCAAAATAAAGTTTATTGTATTGTATTCCCAGCCAAACAACATGTAATCTACAGTAATAAAAAATATATCTCATTTTGGGCTCAAAGCATTAATCCAGTTACTGAAAAGAGAATACAAGTGGAGCAAACAAGAGATGAAGATCTTGAGACAGACTCATTGGACTGAATTTCCCCCTCCCCCCTTTGATGGAAGAAATGTTCCAGACTCTAAATTGAGGACTTCATTATTAATGGCATTATTACTATGTTATGATTGTTAAAAAATTTCCTGTAAGGTACACACTACATATAAAGGTTGGCCATAATTCCTGTTGAAGTTTTTTACCAAGCTTAAAAATGAAGCTTTGTGTATTTGAAAGTTATAACAAACTCAGTTGAAGACAGTGGTTGTACAGTATCATTTCATTTAAAAACTATAAACATTTTGTTTTGAAGCTAGGCATTTAAACTGGAATAGCTATTATACCCCTGAGAATGGGGCAGTTGTGCCCTTGACATTCCTTTGTTGTTTAATTCTTTAGAATCTTTTTTTTTTTTTTAAATCCTGAGAGATTAAACAGTAGACTTGTTAAGAAAAGAAACAAAAAAGCAAAAAACGAAATTGTAACCAAAACTTTAAAATAAAGTTTTTTTTTTAAATAAAAACTGATTTTTAGATATTTTTTTGTTCTTGTCTTTCAGTTGGTTCATAATACGGCCTGAATCCAAGCCAAGGTTCTAGAAATTAAATAATTTTTAAGAGGTTATTTTGTGATTTACAGAATACTGGTACCTTTTCATTTGTGAAATGGTATATAAATGTTGATAAATTGATATAACTGGTAAAACAGTATTTTAATATGATAGTATCTTAAAATTGTCTAACTTCACAACTAAAGTCAAACCTCTCAAATTATCTACTGTTTGGGTATGTGGGAAACAGTAAGATTGGTCTATTTGGACATGCTATTTTTCTTTTAAGAACACTACTAAATGTTGGAAATAAAATTTATCATGATTGTATTAAAATGACTTTGTGATATCATTGAAAAAATTAGATAAATTATTTTATCATATTAATTTACTTGAATTTTTTTATGTTTTTATTAATGCTGTGGTATTACAGTGTTAAGAGTTTTACTATCCTAAGGAGAAAAAAAATTGTTCACTTTTACATAAGGGATCATGGTAATTAGTCGCAAAATTCCGGTGTGTTGAAATATTTGTGTTAACATTTGATAGGCAGAATAAAGATGAAGGAAAGAAGCCAGAAGTTAAGAAAGTGGAGAAGAAGCGAGGTTAGTTATTTTACTTTCTAAGACATAGAATTATATATAGAAAAGTTACACTAACACTGATTTTGTTTGTTGATTTTGGAATCTGTCTCATTTTACCTTGTTATATCCTACAAACATTTTTGAAATCTGTAATTAAGTTCATATAAAATGGAATGTATTTTAAGCATAATCCGATGAACTTACAAATAGTTGTCTTTAAATCTTATTTATAAAGTTAATTGTTACTACACTGCCATAACTGGATATCCATCTCCCCTGGCTTCCTATAGAGACTTCCTGTTTTTGTTTAAATTTAAGTAATGGAGTAGAGGAACTATAGATTCAGTTTATTTTAGATACAAATATAGCAGAGGCCTACTCTATTATGCATATTGCTTTCTTAAACATAGATTACTTAGCCTGACTTTCCTAGTGATGTAGGGTATTCATATGTATGTTTCTTAGTAAAGATTACTAAGAATATTTTTTTAAAAAGCATCAATATTTTGCTTAGATGATACAGAAATACTCATTTTAGAAAACTATTTATTGTCTTCCACATATTTTAATTTATAGAAACATCAATGGATTCTCGGCTTCAAAGGATACATGCTGAAATAAAAAACTCACTCAAAATTGATAATCTTGTAAGTGTTTCATGCCTCATTTGAAAATACAGTGCTGCTTTTATAGCTTCCTATTTTTTCATAAGTTTATATATGCATATAAATTTAAGATGAAAGGTAAAGTTACTGGTATATTTTATTGCCTTAAAGTTATTTGAGATTTTGAACATAATCTTTAAGCAAAGATAAGTGTCATCATAATTAACAGTTGTGAAATTATTTTGTCATAAAGGACGTAAACAGATGTATTGAGGCCTTGGATGAACTTGCTTCACTTCAGGTCACAATGCAACAAGCTCAGAAACACACAGAAATGATTACAACACTGAAAAAAGTAAGTGATCTCAAGTCATACTGACTGAAAAGCTCCCTCTTCATTTAAAAAAAAAAGTTTATAACAATCGGGGTAAAAATCCTTTGGAAATGGATAGCAGTGATAGTTGTACAATATTGTTTGGTGGTGTAGTACCTAAAGCATTTGACTGCTAAACAGAAGTCTGGCAGTTCAAACCCACCAGTTGCTCCTCTGAAGGAAGGCTGGGCAACCTACTTCCGTAGTGATACTGCCTTGGAAACCCAAGGAAGGTTTGCTCATGAGTCGGGTCGGACTTGACGGCAAATAACAATTAATGTCACTGAACTATAAATTCAGAAGTGATTAAAATAGAAATGTTACATATATGTTAGCACAATATTTAAGAAATTGGGATTATGATTAAATAAATTATGTATTTAAATAAGGTATGCATACGTTTGTTTCCTACCCCAGAGCTTTTCTTACATGCCTGCTAACTTAACAAAGCCTTTCTGGCAAATTGTTAACTATCTTCTGTGGAGCTTTCACTTCATTTGTACAACCAAAACTCACCAAATAGTTCTGCTGTAATGGACTCAAACACTGGGGTTTGGGAACACTGAGGTTTAAAGATAATGGGAAGGTATAATACGGTGTCAGAAAAAAAAAAATCCATCAAATCCAATTCAACTGAAATAGCTGCTTCTCTCTCTCTTTTTTAAAGAACTGGGGAAAAAAATAAATGGGAAATAATTATGAATATTTTGTTTTCTCAGATACGGCGATTCAAAGTTAGTCAGGTTATCATGGAAAAGTCTACAATGTTGTATAACAAGTTTAAGAACATGTTTTTGGTGGGTGAAGGAGATTCTGTGATTACACAAGTGCTGAATAAATCACTTGCTGAACAAAGACAGCATGAAGAAGCGAATAAAACCAAAGATCAAGGGAAGAAAGGCCCAAACAAAAAGCTAGAAAAAGAACAAACCGGTATGTGGTAATAAATTCGACACTAGGTTTCTGATTGTTTACTGGGACTGTTTTAAAACATTTTTTGAAAAAGATCTTATGAAGCATTTAGTGGAATATGTAGAGTTCAATCTTGATTTTTTTTCATTAAGCTTAAATTGTTACTACTACTACTACTATTGTCACCTAGCTTCAGCAATTACTAATAATTCATGAACATTGCTGTTTTATATTCCATCCACTTGGCACTTCTCAAAATTATCTCGAAGTCCCTGATAATATACCATTTCATCTATAAATTGTTCAGAATGTGCAACAAATTCAACCCAACCTGTTGCTGTTGACTAATGGCAACTCCATGTGTTACAGAGCGAAACTTAGCTCCATAGGGTTTTCTTGCTGTAATCTTAACAAAAGTAGATCACCAGGCCTTTCTTCCATGGTTTCTAATGGGTAGGTTTCAGCTGTCAAGTGTAAACCATTTGCACCAACCAGGGACCTAATATATCTATGAAAGACTCTTACATATGGGTTATGAAAGTGTTAAAACACATTGCCTACCTTGTCAGTCCCACTCCAATTTTATGTTAATAAGTATCTTAGCAGCTGCTTAAGCTAGAAACTTGCAGAAGCAATTAGATTTTTTATTTTCATTTATTTTGGAATGATTTTTCCTTGAAGGCCAATTGCCTTATAAGAAAACCCCCATTGTTCACTTAGTCATAGGGCCCAAAATTGTGCCAAACAGGAAGTATTTCTTGTAATGCTTTCTGTTCTAAAATGTCAGTGATAAAATATGAAATTTTATAGTAATGTTTAAAAACATTAAAATGACTTAATCATAATGTGCTGTAAAGACTTATACTACCCACTAGCCTTCCTGATAATCGTTAATTGCATACCTATATATACATGTAGTAACCCTACTTAACTGCCTTCGCTACAGTGTATCCTGGTGTGTCAGGAGTCAACAATGTAGCCTTTAAATGAAATTACTTACTTTTTTTTTGAAATTGCATCAAAGCTTAATCCTAGAATAAATAAATATATTAATTATTAGAAACCTAAGGACCATGTTTTATTTTTTTACATTGACTCTTAGAAGACATCTTCAGTTATTTTAGAAGCTCTAACAGTTTTTCTATTGCCATACTTTGAAAGGTTCAAAGACTGTAAATGGAGGCTCTGATACTCAAGACAGTAATCAGCCACAACATAATGGAGAAAGCAATGAAGAAAGCAAAGACCACCATGAGGCCAGCTCTAAGAAAAAGTAAAGAGATGTTTTAATTGCCTTCTTGTGTGTTTGTCACACCATTCTGAATTCATTTGTATATTTTAATCACTTTATTCCAGGATTCAGGAAGCAAATTGAAAATTAAAAGGCAAAAAGTTAACAATTTTCATTTACAACTGATTTACTTGCTGTACTTAAAGGGAATAGAGCTAGTTAAAACCACATTAAAGAGATTACCATTCCCTGAATGTCTTTTATTGCTAGATCTTCATAATGACTTGTTTCAAATTTTCTTGAATTTTGACAAAATAAATTTAGATGTAGAATTCAAGTTTATTTCTTGTAGTACCTACCCTATAGTAACAAGCTATGGAACCATAGTTCCCCAAGCCTTGATTTGCTAAACATCTCTTTTAATCCTGTAGTTTAGGGAAATCTTGTCTAATCCTCTTGTTCTTATTAAAGCTTGTAATACGTTGTTATCATAGCTCTATTTTCATATTCTTTGAGAATTTAAAGCCAGAAATGAGAAAAAGGGCCTGAGCCATGTTGATGATTTTTCTTGATCTGCATATTACCTTGAGAAGACACATAGTAAATAAAATTTTGAACAAGGTAAACGAATATAGTTCCTTAAGAACAAATCAGTGTTTCTTTTAAAATCTACTCTTTTGGTGATGTTTAAAATGCAACGTACAGATTCAATGTCTTTTTCTTTCTTAGGGAAAATAAAGCTCTAATCCTAGTCTTTCTTTTCCCTTTAGACCAAGCAGTGAAGAGAGAGAGACTGAAATATCTCTGAAAGACTCTACACTAGATAACTAAATTGATGTACCTGGAACATAAAGGACATTTGAGAAATTTGTAATGGTTTTCATTTTAAATATTTAGAGTGCTACAAATGAAAGTTTAAAATTTTTATAAGCATAGGTTTTGATGTGAAATTGGCTTTGAGGGAGAAAATTCCCTTTATCTTTGTTTAAAATTAAACATTGCTAATTGTACTTGTGCAGTATTAACAGCTACAATATACAGTAAATATGTGTGTGGGAAAATCCATTTAGAAAACATTAAGCTGCTTTTTTCAGACATTATGGTTGTAGCATATTTTCAATTAGTGTCTGTAAGTTAATGTGTAATTGATAGTAGAGAAGAGTTACATTTTTAAAACTGCTACTTGTACAATACCTTTCCTCTTCTCCCTAATTCTGTGGTTTTTGTGCATAGTTTTTACATGTTGGATAAACCAGACTGTCTTTTCACCGTTCGTGGGTTTTGTAGAAGTTGAGCATTTTTTTAATGGTAGATAATATGTTACTTCTATACAAGAACTCACTCCTACCCTCCTTTTATCAAACGTTAATTTTAATCTTAAGTCTACATTGTGCTACATTATTCTGCTTCTTTGTTAAAAATGTGTGGTCTGTAAGCCTTTTTGTATGATGACCAGATATCCATCTGAAGTTCAACTGACAATTTTGCAAGGTACAAAACTCATGTTAATTTTGAAGATAAATTACTGAGTTTTATGGCTTGAAATTCAGCGAAATCACATGACTTTTCCTGCAGAGAGCAGAATAGGTTATATATTGGGATTAATCTGACATTAGACTATTGTTAACCTTGAAATCAACCATTTAAGATATTTAATAAGCACTAGGAGCTATAATTTGAAAACTAAATGATAAAAGTTTATTTTTGAGAAGTATCTCTATTTTAAGTCACACTCACGAAGGAAGTCACTTAAGTAGGATTTTTTAATTGGGGAGAAAAATCAATGCATAATGCTTATGCAATAAGTATTATATAAAGAAACCAACCTATTTGAAAGCATGGTTATATTAGAAGGGTGTTTTTATTTTCATTTCTGTATCATATATATGGCAGGATTGCTGAGAGAGAAGGCAGTTGACAAAGAGTGACTTAGTATTTTGATAGTCTGTATATTCATATATGGGCTAAATCAGGGTGAATCAGTGTTAACACGAAATTTAAGGGTATGTTAACATTATCTTTTGAACTGAATATTAGGAAAGTTGGTGGTTTTCAATAGCTAAAAGACACTCATGTTTTGAAACTCTATGAATGTGAGAAAAAACGGCTTAATAAAAGGTAAGAGTTGTAACTTCAGACTTGTGGTTTCTAAGTTGCCCACTCCCCTCCCCCCAAGGAAGAAAGTGGGTGGACAAACTTTGTATATTTTAACCTCATGAATAATTGTTCTCATCCATAGGTGAAAAGTTTGAATCTTCAATTCTAATAATTGGATTTTTGTTTTTGAAGAGTCTTACAGTGGACCTAGGAGCCATTATTTTGGTAGAACTCTAATTTTATATAAACCAGTCATTATCTGTTTGTTTGGATTTGGACAGATTTATTCTAATCAAGCCATAAGTGTTAAAGTGTAAACTTGTTTTGATTAAAGAATTTTTCTATCAAACTCTACTAGTAAATTACTTTTTTGCTATTAATAAAAGCAGGAGATGGAATTCTCATTTGCAACCAAGGAAGTAGTAACTCCTTAGTTAACTGGTCACGCAGATTTTCTTGTTTGGGGAGATAGGGTAACTATTAAATAGAAAGTAAAAGTAAGCCCAAAGTGATAAAACTAAAGTACCCTCCCTTTTTATCCTGTGACCCAAGAAATCTCTAGTTTTGCCAAGAAGCCACAGAATATTTTGCCTGGACCTCTAGGATTCTAATCATAATTTATGTCTGCCTACATGGGTTGACTTTGCTCTAACCAGTTAGTGCATGTTATGTTAAAGCAGTTGCTTTCTCATCTATCACAGTGACTCACAGATAAACACTACTCTCAGAACTCTTATCATTTCACTAATTTTTAAGACCTTTCAGGAGCAGTGGCTCAATTTAAACTGTATTATATTGTGAAAACTAGAACTGAAAAACTACTAAGAGATGCTTTCCTATTTAGACTAGGAAACAATATATGTATGTGTGTACATTAGTTATAAATAATACTTTGTGCTGTTTTTTCACCCCTGGGTAACATTTTTAAGCCTAGGTTTCATATGGCCCAGCAGAATCAATTGTTGAAGATTTTTCAACTGCTTGGAGAAATTTCAGATGGCATGATCTGAACCAGAACCTGATTAGGACTTTCTGTGTGTAACAACAGCGTGACCATTCTAAAGTTCTAAATAGTAGATTAAGGCTTACAAGGCATAAGTTTTTGCTGATAGATTTAAGTGTAGTATACTACCATGGGGGAGCTCTGGTAGCATAGTGGCTAAGACACTTGCCTGCTAACCAGACGGCTGGTGGTTCAAACCCACCAGCCACTCCTCGGAAGGAAGGTTGGGCAATCCTACTTCCGTAGTGATACTGCCTCGGAAACCCAAGGAGGGGTCGCTATGAGTCGGGGCCGACTCGACGGCACATAACAACAACAACAACATACTACCATGGACCTATTCGTATACTTACCTGTGTAAAGGAGTCAGGTCAAAATGAAGTCTGCCATTTAGTCTTGTATGAAAGCAAAGGCTTTTAGAGGACTCTATAAAAGATTGGCCAGAGAAGGGATGATTTATTGGAAATAGCAAACCCATATTAAGCCCTTAAGAAATGGAAGAAACTACATGTATAGGCAGAAATGTATTTATATTTGTGTTGTGTACACTATTCAACCTTAGAGATAATTGACTTTTCGCCTTATTTTCCTTAAAGGTTGTATCGCAATCTACATTATTTCTAACTGTATACAAGATGTTGTTTTAAAAGTTCATGGCAACTATTTTATATTTGCTTTTCTTAGGTAAAATATCATATACAATGTAATAATCATGTTGTGTTTAATAGCTCTTAAGCTATCCTGCTAGAAAAGCTGTCTTTGATTTAGGGAATTTATAGTTGCAGATTACACAAAGGTAGAAATTTCTTTTGACTTCAACTTGGTAGGAGATCCACATAACTGATACATAACACACAAGCTATTCCTCTTGGTTTCCCCAAGAAACTTTTACCTTTGGTGAAAAAGCTAAACTGAAGAACCAGCAGACTAATATTCTCAATAAATGATAAAAAACTGCATCGTGTGTTAACAGACATTTCTCTCTTTTGTTCACTAAGATGAACTGGTTGGCACCACACATAGAATGATGATGTATGACAGTAAGTTACTTTCTGTAACTTCTGTTTTGAGAGTATGAAATAATACAAATGAGAAAAGTAACAAACGTGCATATTAACAGTAAAAATATATGTTTACCTGCTAACTTTGAGGATCTTAAATACATGGTTTTAAAGCAGAATTTTTAATCTGCTTAGTGTTACCACCTGTGGATATATAAACCAAACTCAATACCAAACTCAATGCCATTGAGTCGGATCCGACTCATAGCAACCCCTCGGGGTTTCCAAGGAGGTATCTCTGCAGAAGTAGATTGCCCAGTCTTCCTTCTGAGGAGGCTGGTGGGTTTGAACTGCCAGCCTTCTGATTAGCAGTCAAATGCCTTAGGCACTACACCACCAGAGGAAAGTAAAAATTTAGGCCCAACATAAAAGTGAAGCCTTTTGGTGTCCCCACTGAATCTGTGAATGAGACACCAGTGGACATAAGTTGCTTGTCATCTCCATACCAGCTAAAGTGGATATGTGGCATCTAAGTCCATAAAGCATATTTCAATGTTAGCCTTTTAATAAGTGCATATGTCTCACCAATTTTTGATTTATATGGTAAAACTCTAAGTCATCCAAGGAAATGTGAAATTTAGTTGAATTTCAGTATAACCTAGAAGAAAGAAAGTGAAACATAAATATGATGCATTTAAATTGAACTACTTTATATTATGTAGCATTTCATAAAGTCTTAAAACAGTATTCAGTTTTCTACCCCAAAACAGAAAACGTTTCCAAAAGATGATTTCAACTATAGATAACTATAATTTTCTCTAATGATCCTGACCCCAGTTATCTGAAAAAATTTCTTTGGCTCAGAATGAGGGAATAACTAGGATCAAAACAATGGAAAAGCTGAGGCAGAAAATTTTTTTTCCCTCTTAGAGAACTGGGTGTTACAGCCCTCAGAGTGAGCCAGAGCTAGCAAACCACATGATACTGGTTTCTCAAATATCAGTCATCATATTGCGTAAATTATGTAGTAGTTTTTTTTCTTTGCCATACATTTTAAATTGTACCTCACAAGTTCTTATCCAGAAATGAAATTTCACTAAAATGTGCCTACTTTTTATTTAAAAAAAAAAAACCTTAATACAAATAAGATTTAATTATATAACTATTCTTGACCTTATTATTTACTGAATAATTTCTTCCACTTCTCTAATTTTTATTAGTTATTTGAAGGATCTATATATACCTTGTAAGCCTCATGGTACAAGGTGTAGCTGTCAAATTCTTCAAAGAATTTCAAAGCACATATACCACTTGATGGTATTAGCAAAAAGCACTAGGGACAAAATTAGAATGAATAGGCAAGCCAGACAGAGAAAAGAATCACAACGTGTATCTGATAAAGGACTTGTTTGTACTCAGAATATATAAAGGACTCCTAACTCAACATAAACCTACTTAAAAATGGGCAAAAAGCATCTGAATTAAAAATATATTTTAATAAATACTTAAATAATTTACTAAATACAATCAAGTTACTTCATTAAAAATTTTGATTTGCCTTTTTTTTTTGTGGCTGTAGCTGACTGTTCAAGGTGAATCCTTTTCCTCTGTGTCAATTCTTAGAAATAACTATCCAAAAGGACTGTTTGTTTACAAGGGTTGTTATTTTGTGTGTTATCCTTAATTAAAAGTTCCTGGATCAACATAAGGATAAGCAAGGAATTCCCCAAGTTTGTTGCCTTCTGAATCATAGTGGAGCATTCGGAAGCAAACATCACAAAAGAAACATGGATCCTCTGGTGCAAAACTGTCATTGTTCGTCACCCACCTGTAGTTTTTTTTAAAAAAAAGAGAGACATCAGTATAAATTTTTCATGATAACTGACATGCACATGCACATTGTATGTTATCACTTGTAGTAGTATATAGATTTAACTTTCCCATTATTTCTTTATTCTACTTTATTCAATCTTTTATATCACTCCCAATATGCTGTAAGGCAAAAGCACACTTAACACCAACACTGGAGAATGCTGTTTTCCTGAAAGATTTACCCTTAAAAGGTAAGTACAGAAAAAGCTGTACTTGAATGCACCATATGTTTGTCATCTCACACCTATCCCCTAAGTAACTGTTATGTACATAGTCATCTTCCTTGCACAGGGACATTTTGAAAAATAATAGATACTAAAGATATGATAGGAGCTCTGGTAGCATAGTGCCTAAGGCACTTGACTGCTAACCAGAAGGTTGGCGGTTCAAACCCACCAGCCACTCCTCGGAAGGAAGGTTGGGCAATCCTACTTCCCTAGTGATACTGCCTCAGAAACCCAAGAAGGGGTCGCTATGAGTCGGGGCTGACTCAATGGCATATAACAACAACAACAAAGATCTGATACACTTTATCTTTTTAACTGGCAAATTAGTACTGGTTAATTTGAAAGCTCCAGCTGTTCAACCTAGAATTCAGGATAAAATGTTAGCAACTGGAGTACAAATCTTAGAGGCAACACTTTGGCACTGAGATGCGGTTTTGCCGTGAGATGATGTTACTGGCTACCAAAAAATTCTAGCCCACTGCCATAGAGTCAATTCTGACTTAGTCTGACCCTACAGGACTGAGTAGAACAGCCCACAGAGTTTCCAAGGCTGTAGATCTTTACAGACGTGAACTGCCTTTTGGTTAGCAGTCAAATGTTTTAACCATTCTACCACCAGAGCTGCTATTACTGGCTACAATAAGAAGAGAATGCTGTTCTTCAGTCTATCTGAATTGTGTGTATCATGGGAAGTCAGTTTATTCTTAAAATTGCTTAATTTTAATTTTGACCTGATTTATCAGGTTTTTCTTTTGATAAACTGGAAAAGCACATTATGAAACAGAACCTAAAACAAAATTACGAAATTCTTCCTTTTCCTCTGCATGGTTTTCAGACTTATTTTTGACTATACATATTGAGAAAAACACTATGATCTAAATGTGGAGAATCTTAAAGATTTTAATTTTAGCAAATAAAAAATAATCCACAAAGAGAAGTAAAAAAATTGAGAATTCAAGAATTGAAACCCAGGATAACTGCAATGTTAAAATTTTACAAGGCCCCAAATGTTCTAAAATTGATTGCAAAACTTTATGAATATACTGAAAACCATGGAATTGTATACTCTAAATGGGTAAACTGTATGGCATGTGAATCATAATAAAACTTTAAAATGAAACAATTTGATGAAACTCTTTGATCTTACTACATGTGAGGTAATGTGTTTTCGTTTAGGGGAAGTTGTGGGGCAATGGTAATTCTGTAAGCTGCAGAAAGGAGGCAGAACATAGTTCCATGATTCATCATAGAGCCACTGTATTGACAACCCTGAAATCTGACTACCTGGACTTCCACTATACATGATAATGCATTTCCTTATTAAGCAGACGGTAGCCCACTAACCCAATTACGTAGCCCTTCCCTAACCAGATCCAAAACCAAATTCACTGACAAGGAGTTGATTCCAACTCACAGCAAAGTACCTGACTACTGAAAACCAATATTTCTTAAAGAAAAAGATTGGTATCGATTACCTGGCAGTGTACATTTTACAAACAAAACATTTTCTTGTCCACAGCCAGTGCTTCTTGATAAGAAGGGGATAAAGAGTCCTGTCCAAGCAGTCGTCATGATGCACAAACCTTACACATAAGAAAATAAATTCAAATTTTTATAATTTATAAAGAAAAATATATCTACCTCAACATTAGAAACAACAGTATTTTTCAATGGTGGTTTTATAGAAATTCTTGTAAAATGACTTGTTTCATCAGGTTTGAACAAACTGTTTTCCACAAAATACTTTCTCAGAAAAAAGATTTTAGACTGTACAAGGTTTTCTCTCCTCTATGACTCCCTAAAACCCTTTATGGTGATATGTGTTATGATTCTAAGAGGGATACACAATATGCAGCATTTCTTGAATATATTAATTCCCTCACAGAATCCCTGCTTTGCCCAACACTTAGTGCCTTCTTACGGAACAAAGTTTGAGAAAGCTACTTAGTACCAATTTACTTAGATCAACTGGTAAGTTAAAAAACATGGCTTTTATTATTATTATTTATATCTTTATTAGGAGCTCTGGTAGCATAGTGCCTAAGGAATATGACTGCTAACCAGAAGGCTGGCGGTTCAAATCCACCAGCCACTCCTCGGAAGGAAGGATGGGCAAGTAGATTTTCTGTAGTGATACTGCCTTGGCAACCCAAGGAGGGGTAGCTATGAGCCAGGTCCAACTCGACGGCACATAACAACAACAACAACATATCTATTAAAATCCAAATCTGGCTTCTGGTATAGTGTGAATTTGTAGGACTTCTAAAAAGTTTCAGGAGTCAGAATCACGTAATCTTTTGTGTGTTAAGAAATTGTAAGTGGAAGTCAGTCTCCATTCTGCCATAAATCAGCCACATGACTTCGGGTAAACCCCTTAACTATACTGTATCTTTGGATTATTCATTTCAGAAACGAAGACACTGCACAGGAGTATTCTGAAGGATCATGAAATATTTTTTAAGTAAAAAAAGGGTACCAAATATCAACTTCACCGTAAGAAAACAAAGTACTAAATTTTTGTTGGTGGTATGGAACAGCAATGGGTGATTATATCAATGCCATTCTAGATGAAAATAACTTGTAGTCTAAAACACTTTTAAAAGTTCCTTAAGAAAGCCCCATACTGCAGACTCTTAGTGTAAATTATTTCACTTTAGCATTTGAACAGATCATTGTTTCTTTTAGCAGTGCATCACTTATTTGCCTTGAACTTAAAGGTTACTTTTGTCCTTCAGCCTTAGAATGACAGGGAGCACTACCACTATGCCTACACTATAAGAAGCACAAGGAAATCAAGATGACCAGAAAATAGGGGATTGTGTTCTACTTCACACTTACTCTAAGACAAATTCCCCCTTATTTGAGGGGAAGAGCAGGCAGAAAAGCCTACATAAAATTTAATGCATTATCAAAGAAAGAGATGCACCGTACACAGTTTAGGTCTATGTGGTTTGTAACTGCTCTCCTGGCTCCTGCCTCACCAATTCTTCTTAACTGTTTCTTTGACTTCGGCTCCTCATTAATTTTCTACATAAGTGTATTCTGGCTAGGCAGATATTTAATCTTCAAATTACAACTAGAAAGAGCATCTCTGTCTAACCACTCCAGGTGATAATTCATATTTATTTAAATGATTTATTCCCTATGTTAGTTCCTCTATTAGTAGGATAGTTGTTTGAGCACATGTAGTTGAATTAAAATTAAATGCCAATAAGTTAAGATACACAAGATGACTACTAACACAAATTTGGTAAAAGTTCTATATTCCAGAAATTGGGATACATTCAGCACTGTATGACAGACTCAAAAAAAAAAAAAAAACCAGGGTTCTTAGGTTCCTGAAATCAACCACTATTCCACACATTAAATTGTAACAACTGTGATTTAAAATTCTAACATGAGTACTCCTAGTGACAGGCATCTCACTGCCTCAAAAACACAACATTTTAATCTTGCTTCTTTCTCATTAACCATTTCACCTTACATTGGACCAAAATCTCTAATGAATTTCCCCCTAGGGGTCCCAGTTACTATCCTTGGGTTAAAAAAATGTTACTTACAATTCCTACACATTCAGACTCGGAAGGAAGGTTGGACAATCTACTTCCATAGTGATGCCGCCTCGGAAACCCAAGGAGAGGTCATATGAGAGGGGGCCGACTCGACAGCACATAACAACACATTCAGAATAATTTATCTGCTTTAATGCATACATTTTCATATTTCAAAAATAGCTACTTAGCATATTTTCTTTCTAAGCAATAAAATATTTTAGGTGTTCTACATGAAGGAATTACATAAAAGGATGTCCTAAGTATTCAATCTAGTCAAAATTTTGTTATATACACTTTTTTTTGTTTTTAACCATGACCTTTTCCAGCCTAAAACTGGAATTCTAAAAATCAATTCACTGGTTGGATAACTGAAACTTGGAATGGAAAGAGTAGTATCACAATAGTCCAATTACTCACAGAGTGATTGCACTCCCTTTTGCATTTTACCCTGCAGTAAACTACATCTACATACAATATAGAGCACTGCTTTAGAAGGGAGCAGGTGTTGGGGCTGTTACAGTTGGGTGCCATTAAGTTGCCAACTCAAAGCGTCCCCATCATGACAGAAGAACTGCTAAATAAACAAAATACAGAAGAACTGCTAAATAAAATAGGACAGTGACCTACTGAGGTGCAATATTTCCTAAAGTTACTTCAGGAGAAGAATCATGTAACAAATTCAAAAAATCAAACTTGCTGCCATTGAGTCAATTCCCACTCATAACAACTCCCGTTGGGTTTTCAAGGCTACAAATCTTCACAGAAGCAAATGGCCTCATCTTTCTTCCACGGAGCAGCTGGTGGGTTTGAACCACCAACTGTTTGGTTAGTAGCCAAGTACCTTTTAAGAATCTCATGTGGTGTATTTAAACATAGTAACTCTTGGGCCTACCCAATCTTACTGATTGAGAATTCCAGGAGAACTTCATGTTTACCAAGCACTCCCAGGTAATTTTTATGAGGATAGTTGGTAAAAAACTAGGGGAATGGGGACATGACCTTAGAAGGTCACAACTACTCCAGTAAGCAGATAGAATGGAGTAAGGGCTCAAGCTGTGTTTAGGAAAAACTCAAGACTCAAGAGAAGTAAAAGTAAGGACTCTTCAAAGGCATCAGGTCATAGGCATAACAGATGAACCTGGAGGATATCATGCTGAGTGAAATAAGCCAATTACAGAAGGGCAAATACTATGTTAGTTCATCATTGTAAAAAGTCAAGGAAAGTTTATATATGGAAGGAAAATTTATTTGTTGGTTACCAGGGGTGGGAGGGGAAGGATTAACGTGAAAAATTAAAAAAAAAAAAAAAAAAAAAAAGGGTGTATCACAGCTCCACAAGAAACTTAAAATGGTTTTTCAAAGGGGATTAAACCAGAAAGTAGGGCTATTCCTGCACATTGGTCCTTCCTAAGGGAGATCTCCTAAACAAGGAAGAAATGAGAATCTTTATCATGAAGCATGAGATTTTGGAATATTTTAATAAATCTGGTAAGGCTGGTATCTCTATTCTTGAGGAACAGATATACATGAGGAATAGAGATACCGGCTATGTAAAATACATTAACTAATCCCAAAACTTCATGTCAGATTATTTTAGCTCCTTCCCAATTTAAACCTTTACAAAGCATTAAGGCTCCAGATCTATCAAATGTTAGAATTTCTCTCTTTCTCCCCTAGTTCCCTTTTCTCTCCTAAAAATTTTGAGAAAATGACAGGAAACCGAGTGATATAGTTAGTTGCAAATGTACAAATAAAAGGTCTACATAATATGCAAAATGAATCACCTGAATAAAACTGCTCAATATGCAAATGGAATATATATTTCTAAAAGTAGTTACGGCTTTTTAACCTTCTACTACTAAACAGTTTAGTACTTCTTATATAAAACCAAACCAAACCAAAGTCATTGCTGTTGAGTCGTTTCTGACTCACAGTGACCCCCACTGGGTTTCTGAGGCTGTAAATCTTTACAGAAGTAGATCACCTCATCTTCTTTCCACGGGGCAGCTGGTGGGTTCGAACTGCTGACCTTCTGGTTAGAAGTCAAGTGCCTTATCCATACACCACCAGAACTCCTTTTACTTCTTATATAGATTTGCCACAAAACATAAAATATAATGCACACAGTCACAAGAGTTGGTGACTGTATGGGTAGCAGGCACTCAACTTTTGCTACTCTGAAGCCAAACTGAGGAAGGAAGGTTGGGCAATTTATTTCTGTAGTGATACCGCCTCAGAAACCCAAGGAGGGGCCACTATGAGTCAGGTCCGACTTGATGGCACATAACAACAACAATAGCCAAACTACAGTGATAATAACTTTTACTCCTCTTATTCTTTTTCCAAATGTCTGTACCTTTATACTGTGAAATAAGAGGAAAACAAAACAATAAAATGTTCTGAGTGCTGCCACATACCTTATGTCAGTAATGACAACAACATGTTCACAGTCTCCCTGGTGACAGTATAAGTAAGGAAAGCCCAGCTTGATATACAAGTCATTGAAGGTGAAATCTTTCATGTTAGCAGTCTGAAACTTTCCATAGCCTCGATCATGGGACTTTGACCACTCAATGATAGTTCTGTTGGGGGGAAGGGGGAGGCACACAGATAATTATCATTGGTTCATGAAAAGATTAAAATGGCAGAAAAGGGTCTATGACAGCAGTATAGCAGTATTTCACATACACAGGTTCACCCAATTAACTGGACAGTTCTATCTTCAGAAGAAAACCATAGTAGTCGATATAAGGCGGAATCAGCTGACTTTTTTCTCAATCTCTTATAGCAGCAGGTTCTTGGGTGGTGCAAATGGTTAAGTGCTAGACTAAAATATTCAAAGTATAATTCTGCCCTCCCCAAATAAACTATAAACTCCTTGGAAAAGATTTTAACAGACCAATAACAGAAGTTACTGAGATATAACTATTTTGAGAACTAAAAATTGGTAAGAATTTGAAAAGATTTTTTGGAAACTTTACCTGCTCAGATCTCTGCATTCAGGGTATCTTTCATCATTGTAAAATGTTCCTTCAAAATAAAAGAAGGCTGATTTGTACAGATCCTACAAGAAAACAGATGGTGTTAAATGGCCACTATTAATAATTATGAAGTTACTCTCTTCATTCAAAATTTAAATATAAGAATATGCTAATATGTGTTATAGTAACTTTATGACCTAGCATAAAATATACTCAGCTCACTAATTTGTTTTAACATTTAATGGGAACTTACTATGTGACAAGGAGTTCTGGTGGTGTGGTGCCTAAAGCATTTGACTGCTGACAAGACAACTGGTGGTTCAAACCCACCAGCCACTCCTCAGAAGGAAGGCTGGGCAATGTACTTCCACAGACATACCACCTCGAAACACAAGGAGGGGTCGGTTGCTATAAGTTTTATTTGACTCAAAGGCAGTGGATTTGGTTTGATTCTTTTAGGAGCTCTGGTGGCATAGTGCCTAAGGCACTTGACTGCTAACCAGAAGCCTAGGGGTTCACACCCACCAGCCATTCCTCGGAAGAAAGACTGGGCAATCTACTTCTATAGAGATACTGCCTTGGAAACCTAAGGTGGGGTCACTATGAGTTGGGACCAATTTGGTGGCAGTGAGTTTAGTATGTGACAAGTATCATGTCAGAGGAATTTTATCCTGCTGATGTTTTAGTAACCGAATTGAATGGATTTAAATCTATGTTCTGTGATTCATAAAAAGAATCCAATGAGAAATAGAATAAACTTCAGTGTTATTTTATTGTATGCAAACAAAGCAATGGCAACTATTTTGGATACTAGAACTAAACTGAACACGTTACATCTCTCTCTATGTTTCCCAAGTGTAGCTTCACTGATAATGACGTGCTCATGAAGTTACGTTTTTCGGACATTTTTGTATTTTGAATATGCTTTTACAAAAATGCTCTCATGTTTTCAGTAACTCTCAGGCAGGCAGAATGGGAATTTCTATTTTTCCTATTCTATCCTACCCAAGGTACCAGAGTGGTAGCACAACTGGGGTGAACCTCAGGCTTTGAACTTTCAGTCCACCAGACTCAGAAGGGTGGCTCTTAATCTGGATGGCATAAGAGAAATCACAAAAATACCAAAGACCAAGACTCACCTCAGACCCAATGAATGAGAATCTCTAAAGATGGGGTCCACGTATGAGTATTTTCCAAAACTCTCTGGTAAATTTGAATGTGCAGCCAGAGTTGAGAACCACTGTGAGATTTGTCCTTCAGTGTATGCTTAGAGTAAGGCCCCACATGAGGGCCAGAAGTCCAGAGTTCTTTTCCTTAACCTATGACCGACTAGCTTTAGGGCTCTAAACAGTCTATTCGGACCTGAGTTACCTCAGCTGTAAAGTGAAAATAATATTACCTGATGCTCTGGTAACACAGTGCCTAAGGCACTTGACTGCCAACCAGAAGGCTGGCGGTTCAAACCCACCAGCCACTCCTCGGAAGGAAGATGGGACAATCTACTTCCGTAGTGATACTGCCTCAGAAACCCTAGGAGGGGTCACTATGAGTTGGGTCCGACTCACTGGCACATAATAGTGCGTAAGGCGTTTGACTGCTAACCACAAGACTGGCAGTTCAAACCCACCAGCCACTGCCTGGAAGGAAGGTTGGGCAATCTACTTCTGTAGTGATACCGCCTCAAAAACCCAAAGTGGGGTCGCTATGAATCAGATCCAACTTGACGGCAGTACGTTTAGTTTCATTTGTTTATGCTACCTTCAGGGTTGGAGTGTAGAATCAAAAGCAGTTTTGTGAACCATAAGAGATGTGAGTTTCAGGAATTAAAATGGTTTTACCCTAATAACTAATTTCTATTTCTTTGGGGCTCCTATTTTTCCTCATTCTCTCATTTATACATTATCTGGTATTGCAATCAGTCAAAAGACTGAATGTGCTGTTTGCTCTGCGACCAGTCATCAAATCTCAATGATCCTGTGTTTCCTCATCTATAAATTATGATTAACACTATTACTTTCTTCACAGGTTATTGTGAAAATAAAAGGATGCAATGTACTATAAAGCCATGCCTCACTGCTACAACACCAAATCTGCCACATAATCTACTTCTAAACTTTCAGAGAATGGTCCAAGACTGAAGGTTCTGAAAAATTAACACTATTGCCTTATTTTGGAAACAGAAACAAAGATTCCATCCACTGCTATTGAGTTGATTCCAATTCACAGTGACCCTCATTGGGTTTTCAAGGCTGTAAATAAGGAAGCAGACTGCCTCATCTTCCTCCCATGGAGGAGGAGCTGGTGGATTTGAACCACTCACTCACCTTCTGGTTAGCAGCCAAATACCCACTACGTAGTACCAGAGCTCATTAAAAACAAAGAATAGTTCACTGTATATAAAATTTTGTTAATTACAAAATGCTTCTATAGAACTTCATCTTGGGTGATTTTAAGCAACCAAACGTATTTTGAAAGGAGCCCTGTGGTGCTGTGTGGTTAAGCTCTTGGCTGCTAACCAAAAGTCAGCAGTTCAAACTTGTAAGCTGCTCCCTGGGAGAAAGATGTGGCAGTCTGTGTCCATAAAAATTACAGCCTTGGAAACCCTATGGGGCTGGTTTTACTGTTACTATAGGGTCACTATGACTCCGAATGTATTCAGTGACAATGAATTTAATGCATGTTGGCACAGTTACTAATATCCTACCAAGAAAACAATGGGATTTTAGAAGGTGAACTTAAAAAAAAAGTTTCCCATCTAAATCATAAGTCATTAATATTTCCTTACCTTATTGTATAAATGGATGGTACACAAGGTATGAATAATCTCAACCTGGGTGAATTTTTGGTTTCAATGGTAAAAAGAAAAAAAATCCTTACTAGTTTCCTTCTTTTTGTCAGCTACTTTAGCTGACCAAATTCCAAGGAGATAAAACATGGAAAAACAAGTATAAGAAGTTACCACTTGCCTTGGTTTTCTAGTACTGCTATCTATAACAGACATACCACAAGCAGTCAGCTTTAACAAATAGGAATTTATTCTCTCACAGATTAGGAGGCTAAAAGTTCAATTTCAGGGTGCTGGCTCTAGGGGCTGGGTGAAGGAAGGCCCATCGACCCTGTGCTTTAGCTCTGCCTCTTGTTCCAGGCCCACTGGAGCTAGAGGCTTCTAATTCATGCAGCTGCTGGCTGCTGAGGCTGATGAACCCAAGATCGGCAGGTAAAATGGCACAATCCCCAAATCAGCAGGCAACCAGGCCACTGGTTCAAGTCCAGGAACAATCCCAAGATGAGTAGGCAACACAACCCAAAATGTGCCAAAAACCAAAAGACCTTTCTCAAAGCTTCTCCATATGTACTAGAAATAGGCAACACCCCAAAAGTAACTCCCCTTCAACTACTTAGCAGGTCACAACAGTTTCTACCATGGAGGTGATTATAATTTCATCATGGGAAATAACTACATCCAGCTGCCAAGCCACTCAAAACCATGGCCCAGCCAAGATGACACACAACCTTAACTACCACACTACTGTTATTAATCTAAATAGGTCTGTAACCTAAGAGTCTACTGTTACTATTTCCATCTTACCAAGTAACTATCAATAACTAGTATGGTCAAAGTCATTATTTATGTATAATTTTAGACATCCTTTAGTCTTTTCCTCCTTGCAAACATTTAAATCAGCTATATGAGAACTTCTAAAACATTCCTCAGATCTGCTGTGAGGGAAACAGTAATAGAAGGGAGGAGCTGGAGTATCTTAGTTAAGGAAATCTTTACAATGTAATGTTACTATTTTTACTTTACAGGAAAGGCTGTATAATAAATAGCAGAATAATATGCATGGAAACTATTGTCTTAAGAGTTCTTCCAAAAAGGACCCTGAACAGATTACTGATACTACTGATTTACCTGAGCAATCAAAACATGAGGGTCCACATTCTTAAACTTGCAAATACTGGCAACGATTTCTATATATAGTTATATAGTTATTTACTATATATAGTTATAAAAAGTACCCCCTTCTTGAACTACTACAATTCAGACTTGGTAAGACATTACATTTCACACATAAGCTTTGAAAAGAGATTTAAATATACAGTTCAATTCTCCTAGTCCTCTCACATATCAAATTAACCAGAGAAAAATCTTGTGTTCAAAAATCCTGCTTATGGGTGGAATAAAGATTCTCATTTCCTCAGCTACAAGAGCTGCAACACCCTAATTTATTCCACAATTACCAATGGAACAAATCCCAAACATTCCCATTAAAAAACCATAACAGCTTAAGGAGTTATTTTTAATTTTGTTAGGTTGACAACTCGCGTTGCTGCCCTGAAACATCTCCTTCTTCGCCTGTAAAATAGTGAAAACACTTTCCAAGGATAGTATACTATGTAGCTGCCAATTAGTTAAATGCTCAGTAACAAGCTAATATTTTTTAATAGATGGAAGAGGCAGAAACCATGTAACAACATATGTACATATTTAAAAGTAGAACTCTCTGGGTCGTTTAGTCCCCTGCTTAGAAAGCTTCTGAAGGCATTAGCACTGATGTACAAACCCAATAAACTGACCACCCTGGTTGAAAACACTGGCCATGGTTTCCTGAAGCTAAGACTGAGTCCTGCATCTGACTCAGTCTGCTCTGAGCAATGATAACATGGCTGGAATAAGAAGCAGGAATATAGATTTTTCTTATTAAATTGATCTCGTTATAGTTACACTATATGTTTTCTGTTGCGTTAAGAAACTTTACAGAGAAAACTGTATCTTTCCTCTTCTAAAGAAATGACAAATCCCTTATATCCTGGTCTGAAATCAGCCTTGAAATTGCACTTGTTTTTCTTTATTCTCTGGTGATAGAATATTCTCTATTGTTCATCTCAAAAAACACTGAAGAATCTACCTAAAAAATATTTTCAGCGTAACTCATAAAATATCTGAGTGTTATCTGTACCCGAGCACTGATGCTGGTCTCTACACCAACCCTCTAAAGACAGAAATGTCAGTCTTATGGAGAGACAAACACATATCAAATTGTATCAGCATACTATAATTAGTGCTATAATGGACAAATGAAAAGGGGTCAGGGTGGCAAAGAGAGGAGAATAAAGAAAAGTTTTATGTAGTAAGTGAATCTTGAGCTGGGTTTGGAAATAAGAGTATGAACGCACCAGATGGATGGAAGGAAGAGAAGTGTTCTCTGTCATGTTCAAACACATGAGACGTGAAAGAGTGTGGTGTGCTTGAGGACATATAAATTTTTGTACATGAAGCATACGATGCAAAGGGTGAGAAGCATGGAGAATTAAGCTGGGAATTATCATTAAAAAAGGTCTTAGGGCACTTCCGGTAACATGGAGGAACAGGCAGACAAGCAAACAGACCCTCTTCAACAAAGAAAAGAAAAACCAATTGACAGAGATACAGAAGATAATCCTGGAGCCCTGAACTCACAGCCACTCCCCAGAAGGAAGGCTGGGCAATCTATTTCTGTGGTGATATCACCTCGAAAACCCAAGGAGGGGTTGCTATGAGTCAGACCTGATTCGACGGCAGCGGGTTTGAGCTTTGAAAGGAACTATACAGAAGTGGATTAGGAACCAACTAGCGGAAAAACCTAAACAAAAACACTGAGTACAGAAATGGTTGGAGCTGCAGACTGTCAGCTACTCTGATGGAACCAACACCCTGAATATTCCCAAGTGGTGTTGGGACCTGAGAATTGACCGAAAGATCAGTCCTGGTCACCAAGAGCTGCAGGGACGACTGCACTGATGGACTATGACTAGGAAGGGAAACAGCAAGGAGGGAGACAACCTGAGCTGTTGACTTTCCACTGTCCGCAGGGTGCAGCCATTTTGGCTATATAAAGTAACCAAGGGTGCAGCCATTTTGAATCTTTACAAGTGGCAACCATTTGAGATTTTAAAGTGATAACATTCTCATTTGGATTCCAGGGACCTAAGAATAGGCTCTGTTTGCCAAGGTCAGCAGGGACACAGGAGAGGCTGACAACAGGAAAGAAGACAGGTGGTAAGTGTATAAGTGCCGCCAACTAAAGAAAAGAGGAACACAGTACCCTGCTTGTGTAGATAACATACAAACAAAACAAAGACAACAAAAATCGTGGGCAAGTCACTCCAACATACAATCACCAATTAAATATAATATAAACACAAAAAAGTCACAATACCTCAGAGACAACAGAGCATCACAGTCCACACAAAGAAAGCAAGATAAAGCAGGAGAAACAAGGGA